GAGATGAGCCGAGAATGGCTGCTAGATTTATTATCAGGGAACCGAAAGAGGAAAATGAAATAGAATGGACATGGAAATGCTCATCTGAGTTACAAAACAAACAGTATGTATTCAAAACTGGTAAGAGTAAAACCCTATCATGGTGTTAACTTCTGGGTCAGAAGAGGGAATAAAGGAAATACATGCCCCAAATTAGGATTTTGATCCATAAAAGAACATTCCAGGCAGAGACCATTTTATTCCCACCACAAACTATTGTTATCATTATATTTTAAAAGATGCTTCTGGGTAAAAAGTCTAACTCTCCTACAGCAAAGCTTGATTACCTAAGTCCATGTGAAGGAATTCTTTCTTCCAATCAAATGGCTTATTGGCAATTAAATTCATTCTCTCATTATCTCTTTCTCTCATCTCTACTGAGGAAGAGGATATATTATCCTTATAATAATCCCCAATAGTGTAAACTCTTAGTACTTAATACTAATTTTGATGTAGTTATGCTTACTTTGTGAAACGGCTTGTTTAGAAACTATTTTATTGCTTTAAATTATGTTAACTTGGAGGATATACAACTTTATACAGATATTTTAATTGATGTCTTACTTAATAAAAATAAACGACGTCGAATATTTCCATGGATATTTAGCTTTTAAACATCTTGAAATGGTTTCATTTTGAGGGGCAGTTTTACCCAATCTAAAGTGATAGCAAGAAAATATAAGGTTGCAGGTGTTTTTCATTTTCATCCTTTCTGATACCAAACTCTTCATATCAAGTTAACTTTTATAAGAACAACACTAATTGCTAGCTTTTTAAATCATAGTTTGTGGTTTAATGTGAATTTTCTCTACTCAATCACAGCCTTCCAGACAGATCCTTCTTGGACATATTTAGTATTTTTAAATCAATTCTTTCAAAAGGCGGTGTCTGGCTTGTTAACATGAATACATTAGGAGGCCATTATTAATTCTAATGAATCCTCCTTCAAACTGCTTTAGAAAATAATGATTGGTTTTGGTTCTTAATAGATTTCATTAAATAGAGATTTGCATCCTTTATTGTAGAACTTCCATGGACTAATACAGTTGACCTTTGAATAACACAGATTTGAACTGCACAGGTCCACTTATACAAGGACTTTTTCAATAAATAGTACAGTACTGAAAAATGTCTTTTCTCTTTCTTATGATTTTCTTGACATTTTCTTTTCTCTAGCTTATTTTATTGGAAGAATACAACATATATATAATACATATAACATACAAAATACATGTTAATCAACTGTTGATGCTGTTAGTAAGGCTTTCAGTCCACAGTAGGCTATTAGCAATTAAATGTTTAGGGAGTCGAAAGTTACATACAAATTTTCAACTATGGGGTAGCAGAGGCCAGCACCCCTAACCCCCATGTTGTTAAAGGATCAACTGTACTTGAATCCCTGAATACAGTACTCATCAACAAAACCCTGGAATTTTACTGTTTTGAGAATTTATCAAAAAGTGATGGTAAATTTATTTCACGTTGATTGGCGATAAACTCTTTTAAAGAAGGTGTTACGTCTCCTTTATTATAATTTTCAATGTGCTTTTGTCATTTGGTCACAGAGATGAAGAAGACACTCAAAACAATAGTACTGAGGATTCAGACATCAGTCAGGAAAAAATAACTTGTGATTTTCACGTGCGTTTTTCCAACTCATCAGCTTAAATGCTTGGCTAGTGCACTCACCGTGGCCATGTCGATGGACGCTGTCGCCTCGTCCATGATGAGGATGCTGCTCTTGCGCACAAAGGCCCTGGCAAGGCAAAACAGCTGTCTCTGTCCAACGCTAAAATTCTCTCCCCCTTCAGTGACAACTGCATCTAGATCATAGAAAGAAGCCAGGATTTCACTAAAGAGATGGTGTAACATTTTCTTCGGGGAAGTAGTAAGCCATGTGCTACATCCTTTAAGAGCATGCTGGATAGCGCCGCGCTGGTGTGAAGATTTCTTATTGGAAAGGCAAAGAGGAATTTTACTTTGAGATAATCAAGACGATCTTGGGTCATCCTATTTTTGACAACAGATGGTAAATTATCTGCTTAGAGTAGGATATAAAATGCTGTTAAACATTTCGAAGACTGGAAGACCTTAGAGATAATTTAATTATTCAATAGAATTTTCTAAGGAGATGATTCGGTATAATTATCTAAGGCCCAAAGAGATGAAGTGGCTCCCCCATGATTACATAGCTAATTTGTAATAGAGCTTGATAAGAAATGGAATAATCTCAACTCCGATATCTTACTCTCTTTCCATTGTACCATCCCAGTGGACTGTAAGCACCAAGCGGGTAAGGACTGGGTTTGTTTTGTTTATCGGTGCATCCCCAGTACTTACTATGGTATCTGACTTAGTAGCTGAACAAAACATTGTTTCACAGATTAATGAATGTTATATCCACGTTATCATTTCCTTTTATTTGGTTTCCACCCACATTTCATGAACTGTGCTATCGTGAGTTTAAGATAAATTCTGTTTCCAAAATATCTCCTTTATTGGAATTCAAATACTTTACTAAAAAGTCCTGGGTTGGGGTGGGGAGGAATATCTATTGTTTATATTCTCACTGCATCAAATTCTTGCAGTTTCTCATGCTTTGGAGCTAAGCATTTATTTGTCCAATTTTAATTTACATAATAAATCAGGAAGATGCTGGGGATGATAAGTGCTTTTCACCAGAGTTGGCCTGAGCCAGATCTTTATCAAGCAATTGTTTACTCTTTAAGACAATAAGTATAAACAGTGTTCAATCACATAGTGTAAATACCACCCCTTGTTGCTTGCCCTGCACTGTAACCCCCAAACATTTGCCCACAATTCAAAGCAGGTACATACAGCTCTCATGTTGGCAAAGAGGACCCTGAAGATGTAATTTCCTGTCTTTCCAACTACTGATGGCAGGGTGAACTTTACAGGCCAAGGGAGAAAGGTTCTATAAACACCATCAATTTCTCAAGTGGACTTGCTGGAGTTTCCAAAGGAGAGAACAAAAATTATTATGGGAAGTTCATCCATACCTCTGGAATTACTCCCACAATCTGACACTGGTGAGGTTAATAAAACTATCCTTAAAGATATGCTGTCTCAATTTTTGTTGGTGGGATGCCTTCCCCTTGGGACTTACTTAGACTCATAAAAAGTATTGTTTTTGAGTGGGTCCTCCTTCCCAAAGAAACTGATAAATAAACATGGTTTTATTTTATAGGTTGATTTTTACTAACTAGACACAAAAACAACACAATTTGGCAACTAGATATTATGTACTGCAATTGGAACATCAACCTACTCTTATTATATTTTTATAATTCAAGGAAGCAGAAGTCCAAAACTAAGCTATTCTCTTTTTATAAAGACTATATCATGAACTTTTGTTGTTCTGTTAATCATGTTTTCATTATTCGTTTGGTTATTTGCCAGAAACTGTACAACCTCTGGGAATGAATTTATTTCTGTGATTGTTTAAGTACATGATTCATCCCTTGTGTGAGTGGCCAAAACTGATCCTGCAGAAGGTAATAAAAAATAGTATCTTCAAAAAATTATGTTATATAAATTTCAGGAATATGCCCTCCTGGCAGCAAAGACAATGGCTGCCAATGTGGAGCAACTGCCTGCTATTGAACGGTACTGAGTGTCCCTTGAACCGAACAGCCTTTTCAATCTTCTTCTTCATTTATTGAGGCTAAGTGATTGTGCAGATCATATGAACAAAATGACCACAAGGAAATACTCTGATGAAAGTGACTTGTACCCACCAAGGGTGAAAAGACTGGAGGGATAAAAGCATTACTCTGGAATGCTCACATAGGACAGAATTTGTTTTACATTTCATTCTCTTGGAACCCCTGCAAGATCATTAGATTCTGAAACGTCCTAAAAACCTTGAGATTATTTAAAATGTAATAGGATGTAATTGATTATCTAATTCTAGCATAAAATGCAGCTAGAGATATGTAGAGTTAGTTGTATATGTGACAAATAAATACATTATTTAGAAAATATACCTAGACCTCCTGGTAGAGATTTGACCATGTTCTTCAGCTGAGCAATTTCTAGAGCCTCCCAGAGTCTGTCATCTGTGCACTTGCACTCTGGATCTAAATTAAATCTGTAAAAAGAAAAAAAAATCAGTTATTTAGTCAATAAATAAAAATAAAGGAATTTTTGCCTGTTTGCTTATTGCTGTTTTTTCCTTAAAATGTAAGATCTTGAACAGTGTGCAGGAAAGAGCAGGCATGCGATTCATGCTTGATGAATGAATAAATGGACCTAATGCTATGGAAAATGATTTTTGATGATGCAATTAGTTTATATGCATGAGATGACATGATGAAATTCATCACTTGGATTCATCAGCTTTCATATTAATGTTTAATGTAACCTGAATAGCATCTAGCAAAATATTCCTTCAGAACTGATGCTAAATACATAAACCTATATGGGAACATTTAGATGAGTCATGCTGTACCCAACACAATAGGAACCCCATAAATATATCCATAGATATCAATTCTCTAAGGTGTCTTTCAATAACTTGATACATCTACAACTTTTAATTAAAGTGATTTTACAGCTAAATATTGAGTGATCTTATGTACATTTTCTCTTTTAGACAAAAGGACAAAATACTTCTTTGTAATTCAGTGGATGGAGGTGGGGAGCAAGAGAGAACAAAGGTGGATGAAATGAGAGACGTGATATGGTGGATGATGCCATGGGGAACTCTGGAGTCAGGCAAACTTTATTCGGAATTGTTGTTCTATCATGCCCTGTGTTTGAACTTGGGCAAGTTACAGTTTCTCTGAGGTTCAAAACCCTCATCTGTAAAATGGGGACAATAATATGTATACTAGAACAATGCTTTGAGGATTTAATGAGATAATGTATTTAAAGCACCTAGCAGATAGGTAGATAACTCCATTCTCTTTTTCTTTTCCCCATGGGAAACTACAAACCAGGCATGGAGAAGATGGTAGCAACTTTGTCAAAGTAATTCTGGCTGGAAGAAAAGTTGAGAGAGAGAGTGGCAATCGAGGTATTAACCAAACTGAATATCTGCTGAGCCCAGAACAGACGCCTAAGAGGTAGGCAGGGTATCAGTAGGGTGGAACACCTTGTCTGCCAAAGGATCACTGCTCTTAAGTACAGAGGACAAAGCGGCTTTTGTAGAGTGAAAATGAATGAGCAGAGCTCGTGGACATGTAAGGGATTAGCTTCCATGGGATAATTTCTTAGCAACGCTACGGTTTCCCAGTGCAAATTGTTGGACAGAATATTTGGCCTTATCATCTTGATAATCAAAAAGCAATTCTGAGCCAACCATCATATGAGCCAAACGGTAGACGCTGAGGCACGTGGGCTTCTGTTGAATACACCCCCTACCTAATAGAACCGCTGAACAGTATCGGATCCTGAAGAATGATTGAAAGTCTAGAGCGTAGCGTGTGCAGTGGTAGTTTTGAAATGTCTATCCCATCAATGACAATCTTTCCTGTTAAAAAGAAACAAAAATTACAGGCATGCAGTAAAATCACCAGTAAAATAATATTTGTTTACAAATTGGAAGTATTTCTCCAGTTCAGGATTGAACCTGAGGAAATGAAGCTCTCCATCTAAATATTAAAAAACATCATTACATAATGTCTAAGCAAAATATAAACCTTGGTGATATTTTCTCTTGCTTATGTATTTTCTCCTGCATGGATTTTCAGTTTTTATTCAGTTTATGTGATTCATACAAACCAAAAGTATTTTTTTCCCTTAGTGGGTCCTCTTCCTTCCAAAATTCCTTTGTCTTGATTCCCGGCTCTATTTTCCTTCATAGCACATTCTCTGTATATTTTTACCTATCTTTTTTATTGTCTCTCTTGCCCAACTAGAAGACAGTTCTAGGTCTCAAACTCCTTGAGGACAGTGAATTTTGTTTTATTCAGTCCTGTGTTGACTGAACAGTATAGTGAATTACAAATAAGTAAATTCTAGGACATAGATATCAAACTTTAATGAATTTCTCTATACTGTACATAGTTACAGAGACGTGTGCAATCTTGATGCCCTTTTCTCAACCTGTTGGAGTAATTGTATTGTATCACTTTGTACAAAGACAGTATTGCGCCGTGGGATGAGGAGGACAGATAAATGCAGCTGGAGTCCCTTTTCCAGCTAGATTTCAATTTGAGAAGAGGCAAAGTGATTAGCTTAAAAGTGGCTTTTAGGAATACTCTATTATCTATTAAGATCTTAATAGCCTAATGCTATTAAAAAGGGAATAGGTTGTTGACAGTCCATATGGGGCCTGAAATCATGTTTTTGCCCTTATGAGGGGCAAGCTAATGTAATATGTTCAGTTATAACCAATGCTTTTTAAATTAAAACTGTCAGTTAATTGTCTTTGGGGCAGGTAACTAACTTACAAGGTGAATCCCACTGAAAATCCTTCAAGTATCGGTGTATTACTATTAGTAGCCATGGGAAGAACAAACAGCTAACTCAGGGGCAGATGCTCATCTCACTCTGTTCCTGAACCTAAACCCAGAGACTGCAATTACCACCGTTCACCTCTGTTGTTCATAGACTGACCTCTTTATCTCACAGAACTGTGTGTAGATTTGACTAAATAATATAAGCTGTCAAGTACAAGAAAAATGTAAAGCTCTGTAATCATCAACTCATTACCGATAATAATAGCAAGCACTTCCTCGAGCTAATGGCCAAGCACATTGCTGGGTCCCCTTTTATTCAAGATGGCTTATATGCTGGCTTATTTATAGGCCACTTGATAGACTAAATAATGTGGCATGTTTTTCTAAAGCAAAGATTTCCACGTATCATATTATTAATAATTTTGTGGATGAATATTTTTGTAGATGTCAAAACATGTGCTTGGCTCTTTACAGCAAAGGCTGCCTCCTCACAAGATGTTCACAGTTATTAAACCATGTCATTAAGAAGATGATAGTAAGTGTCATGTAACAAAATGAATAATGCAGATTACTTATGCCCTTGTACTTTTTCCTTTGACAGAAAGAGATATATTTTTGTCCGAGGGAAGCAAGACAGTCTTCCTCTCTCTTCCTTCTTCTTGAAATGCCACCTCCATCTGCTCCTACTCAAAGAGAGTGGCCTTATTTTCAGTGTATCAGAATTCTATAACAACAATGTTTAGAGCTGACTTTAGGACTAATAATTTTATTTCCCTTATTCTATGTTCTTCTATTTCTGACTGTTTATCTGGGATACATGCCTCAAACCCATGGGTTATAGGATACAAAGTTCTTATAAATATTTGATTTTTTTCCTGCAGAATAAGGTAAGTTGATGTTGCTTTTTTTTTTTTAAGGGAAAGCACCACATGGCCACTGAAAAAATTTAGTTGGAAACTCACCATCAAATATATCGACCATTCTGAAGAAAGCCAGAGATAACGATGACTTCCCACTGCCAGTGCGGCCGCATATGCCCACCTGAAAAAGCCACTGTCACTCAGAGAGAAGGGGACTCGGAGAGAAACAGAAAATGGGCAATAGTGTTCTTGACTTGGAGAAGATACCTGGTGAAACTACAATTCTATTTAAATAGAATAAATCATCAGGCTCTTCTCTGATCTCCCTGATGAATTATCATTATTCAGATAAAAACATGGAGTCCTCACCACATCTTCAGTGATTCCATTCTAACTCTGTACGTTTATGTGGTCGTGTTGTTTTACCCTCATGGCTTAATTTTTGCATTTAGAGTATTGTTGGTCTAATAAATAAGTATTCTACTTTACCTTGCAAGTGATGATTTTATAACAAACACTAGGATGAGCCCATTGTTTTTCTGTACCCTTGTTCTTTTTAGAATAACTAAAATGAATCACTTTGGGACTGGAGCTAGTCCAAACACAAAAGCTCTCAAGAGGATATCTAGTGGGCTATTTATAGGGCAGAAATTTTGAAAAACCACGCCTATTGTTGGTCTTCCTGACCTTCATGGGAGACTAATGAATGGCGACAGGACTTGAAGAGCATGGGCTTTATTCTGAGCCCATCGCTCCATTTTTTCTTTTATGTAGATAATCTGACCTGTAAAGTGTAGGTGATGTTATGTGATCCCAGTGAGAATATACTTGGCTGGGACGTGTGAAGAACGTAGGTGGTAATGAGTAGTTCCGACAGAGGTTTTGTCTGAAATAAATCGAATAATAGGAAATTCCATACCTTTTGCCCGGGTTTAATGTAAGCCTTGACATGTTTAAGAACAGGTTTCAGGTTGTTTTCATATCTGACACACAGATCATGAATCTTGATCTCCCCTTCCTGTGGCCAATGTTCGGGCACTTGAGAAGGATCTGGTGGGTGGGGATGGGGAAGGGGAGACAGAGAGAAAGAGAGAAGGTAGGGGAAGGAGAGAGGACGAGGGGAGGGAGGGGCAGAGAGAAACACACCCGACTTATATACATTTACACACACAAACACACACATTTTTTTCTAACTGAACCAAATTCTATGTTTCTTTTTAAATTAAAATCACACTCAGAGGAAAGGCCTTTTGATTAAGATGTTTAAAAATAGTTTTTCTTGTGTTGTTTTTGGAGCGCGAACCAGCATCCAGTCTCTTCAGCTTTCCATCTCTCAATTCTATTCAAGACAGTTTATCTGTCTTGAATTTGTTCATTTGTTCAGTCCGCTGGTCTTCACACATTTGAGTGCCTAAAATGGAAGTGGTGTTGGGCATGGTGGTGGGAATGTGGGAATGAAAGATATGCCTCCGTGTGCCCTGGCGGGGGAAGCATGCAAGTAAGTCAGCATCGAAGTACTGCAGGGAGTGGCTGTGTTGGAGACCAACCCAAGGCACTGAGAACACAGAGGGCGGTAACTGAGAGTTCCAAGGGAGTCTCAAGAGGAGGTGGTGCCTAAATGAATCTTAAAGGGTAAGGGATGGGGGAATTTGTTTCAAGTATATATACAGCGAGAAAAACAGAGATGTAAAGCAAGCGTAGCATGTGGTTATGGCCGGAGCCAAAGGTTTGTGGGTGGATGATGAGAGATGACGCGAGGTAGGTGGGCAAGGATTGGTTCATAAAGCATCTGGTGGTCTTAGCTAAGTTATCTGGATTTTGTCCTTGAAGACCTGGAGAGCTATTGAGGTATTTGGGCAAAAGAATGAATTTTTAAGCATGATATTTACATTTGAGGAAGATCATCCTGTCCTCAGGATTGAATGTCCTGACCATTTTATTCGAGCAAAGCTGACAATCTCAGTATTTTAAGATCCCAGTTTCTTGATATCTACATTAATAAGGATCTTGAGAAAGATTATAAAATAGTTCATAGTTCAGGATGGTAACTAATGTAATGAAGCCAAATATTTTTATAATTCTCTTTAAATATTACTGAATAATATCTATTTGGACTCCATTTATATTCAATGCTTTTCAGGCCTAAAAAGTCACATCATTTCTGGTGTACCTAATCAAGCAAAGTCAAGATGACATAGGAGTCTCTGGATATTGAAGTGGAAAACAAAAGCAAAAATGACAATATGTCTGACACACAGCTAACATTTGTATTAAATAAACATTTAAGTGAAAGAAAATAATGCTCAGAACAATACCCATGGTGCCTTCATAGTTCTCAGACTCCATAGTCAAGAAGCTGTTCACTTTCTTCACTGCCCCCATCTGGACTTCCAGGTCAGCCAAGTTCCTCACAACCCAATTCAAGTAATTGGTTATCTGCGTAAGGTGACAAAAAAATTAACACATTTAAAATGAAGTAGCAATTTTTGTAATCACTGCATCTCTGGGGATAGGACGACTTGGACAATTAGTGTACAGAGTATGATACAATCCATAAGTGCTACAGGAAGTCAGAAACCAGAGAGAATGTCATGGGATACAGTAGGCAAAGAAGGCGTCTGCTCTACTTCAAGGGTCCTCAAAGGACACTGCTTGGAGAACTGTCCTCTGACAGTTGTATGTACCTCTGCACTTATCTCATGTATATTCACATTCATTTTAGAGTCGCCAAATGCATTGTGAGCAACTAAGGATAGGGATCTCAAAGAGCCTTGGGAGTGCTCTGACCAAAGCATTTGAGGAGTTCCTAAAACCTGGTTCACAGTTGTCAGAAATGAATCCATGCTGTCCTGTAACATGCTAGGTTTGGGCCCCAATCTACGATTATTTGCAAGATGTTATTTTGTTATAAATCTCAAACATCTCCTCTAACATGAATCAGAGTTGATAATAACTGTGGAAAGTACCTCCAACACTGAGTGACAAGAGAGATTTTCATCCGTACCTACCGTAAGCGCATACAGGAGACCTAAGCCCACCAATCCGGAATTGGAGGACCCACTAATGGACGCAATAGATGCAGTGAGGACAATGCAGGCTCCCAGATAATCCTGAAAAGGAGCAAGAAAAACCATTAAAAGAAACCTCTCAAGTTCTTAAACCAAGGATTCCAATCAACTTAGAGAGGTGATCACTAAGGGAATACACCTCACTCCTGTTGTGTCCCGTAACATTTCAGAGGAAGGCTCTGAGGCAAGAACCTTAGATAGGGAAGAATGGCAATTCACAGCACATGGCTGCAATGGGAGTGAAGCAATGCTCTCATTATATCCATGCACACAAGGGTGCAGAGATGCCTTGCCAAAAAATTAAGTTGCAATTTGTGGCCCAAACAGGATGAGACATAAGGTTTCTTTTTCTCTTTTTCCTTTTATATTGCATTGTGTTGCCGGATAAGCAATTATTTTTGGACTTGATTTTCTACTTTAAATTTCATGGTGCTTATGTCAGGGTTGTGATTAGCTCCCTTACGTGCTGAATCAAGGCCCTTGCAAAAATCTGTATCTAATTAACTTTTTGGTATTCATACCTGAATTTTCTGTCAACTACCTGGTCTCAGAGTCTTAGACATTAAATTTTCAGATTCCATGTAAATAAGAATAAGGGTTATATTTGTTCATCAGTTACAAGTGTGGGCATGTCTTAGAGTATCTGAATTGTCTACAACTCAATGACAAACTGAGAAATTTTAAAATCATTAAGGCCAACCTTAAGCTCAAATGAGAGACAAGACATGTCTGTCCATTTCCTAATTGCCTTGTCCTTCCCTATTTCCCAATGTTCTTAGGTATTATTATGTCTTATTCAAAACAGAAATCTTAAAAGCCTATCATGCTGATGTAACAGAAGTCCCAGAAACAGGTACAACTTCAGGAATGAGCACTTTCTAGAATCATCTCGAGTATCATCTCACCAGTGATGACCTTCTTTAGATAGGCACATCTTTGATCCCTTGAAAAACCGACTAGTAACTAGGTGATAAGCCTTTATGGATAGCAATGGAATGCTTAACATGCTGAAGCAGATAAATGAAGTTTCTCGAATCAGCTCACGTGTACACATTCCTGCCTTTTAAAAATACCTCTAAAGAGCAAACAGTTGGGGAGCAATCAGTGGTCCCAGTCTTGTAGTCAGAGATCTGGGTTCAAATGCTGACTTTGCCAATTACCAACTAGTGAGCTTAACTAAGTAATTCAAATCCCTTTGAGTTTCAGTTTCTTCTTTGGAAAATACAAATAATATCTAATTCACAGGAATCTGAAAGGAATAAAAAAGATTATATACTAGTTAGACTTCCCCACCTCTGTGTATCAGAATGTCTTTTATCCCCTGGAAGACTTTCAAATGTTTGAAGCAAGCTTAAAAGTTTGTGTACATCATAAAATATGAAAGGTTAAAAGAGGCACTAAAATTTAATTCTATAATGATTTCCATGATCTTTTCAAAGAATAAAGAAAAATGGTTCAGAGTTAATCCCCTCAGGCAGTAAATTCTACAGAGGTAGTAAATATCCCTTTGATTGCTTCTTCTGATGTATCCATTTGTTAACAACTTGTCACATCCCCTTCAGACATTCTTCCTCTTTTTTCCCTTTATTGGAAACATCAACTACATAGATGTAAAATTTAACCAGTCTGGGCTGCTCTTTCATATTTTTATAAATGCCAATGCACTCCCAAAATACTTCTAAAATATTTACAGCAGTATGAATTTTTCCTTCCAGTCCTCTTGTGTAAAGTTAACACTTTTGAAGTTTTGCTATAAATTTATTTCTATATTATCTTTCCTAAAAAGACTCATAAAGAGTTTCTGTGATAAGTCCCAGAAAGTAAGTTAGTACCAGGGCAATACTGCCGACAAGGGGCTCCCAGCTTCATAAAAAGAGATATACCATTTGGCTTCTGAGAAATGTCTGTGGGCAATGTACATGTTAAGGGCTTAAAGCAAGGCATGTTTTTATTAATTTCTATTCTCTACTTTCTCCTGGCTGACCTTGCTGGAAAGAAGAGCTTCATCCATCCATCCATCCATCTCTCCATTCATCCATTCATATATTCTTTTTAAAGTGTAAGTCAGTTCACATAACTTATTTTAGAATTATCAATGCCTTCCTTTGCACTTATAATA